AATTACAGGCATGCGCTACCACGCCTGGCTGATTTTTTTATTTATTTTGCGCTACCACGCCCGGCTGATTTTTTGATTTATTGTAGAGATGAGGTCTCGCCAAGTCGCCCAGGCGGGTCTCAAACCCGCGGGCTCAGGCAATCCGCTCACCTCGGCCTGCAAAAGTGCTGGGATTACAGGCTGAGTCACCGAGCCCGGCATATCATTATTTGCTTATTAATCCCCCCGGAAACAAATACCTACAAAATACAAATAAAAATCTTAACTTTCTGTAATTTGAAATATGGGATTTCTTTCAACCATGGCGTAACCTAGAATTAACTCACTCAGGTCAAACATTAGAAAAATTCAGGTCAAACATTAGAAAAACACCAATTAGGACACACGTTTTTGCTTTTCTGATTTTACTCAATATTTACTCTGAATCCTAAATTGTTCATTAATCTAAAAATAGTTTAAACAATTGCCAGCTAAAAATCTCTCCCCTTGAGTTGGGGTCTCATGCTGTTGTCCAGGACAGAGTGTAGTGGCATGATCACAACTCCCTGTGCCTCAGGCTCCTGGGTAGCTGGGACTCCAGGTACATGCCACCAAACCTGGCTAATTTTTTGAAGAGATGAGATCTTACTATGTTGCCCACAGTGGTCTCAAACTCCTGGGCCCAAGCATTCCTCCAGCCTCAGACTCCCAAAGTGCTACGATTACAGGTGTGAGCCACTGCTCAGCCAAAATCCCCTTTTCATCAATTCTCACACCGTAGCAGCTGTCCAACAAAACAAATCTCAAATGCACAGGTCTGTACTGTCTAAAGAGAAATCAAGATTTAGAGACAGGTAGAAAAGCTTAAAACCATGAAATGGTTCAGGCAGTTATCCTATTAATAGGTTCAAACAGCCAAATAGATTTTGTCCTTCTGAAGGTCTATCTAGGATGTAAACACCTGCTTTCCCTGAAGCAACTTAATGTTGAAGGAATGCAACCGCACCTAACATAGTACACCTTTCTGTTGTACCTGTAAGAAAAACCAATGCTCTCATACTGTAAGCCAGATCATTTTCTCTTAGGAACAATTACCTCCAAATAGAATAATCTATGTAGTCCAGTTTTCCTGAGAAATATATATATATATTTGAGTTGGAGTCTCACTCTGTCGCCCAGACTGGAGTGCAGTGGCCGCTCCCGGCCACCGCAGC